GATGTGTTTTTTAGAAGCCAAGATGAGGAGAGGAATTTAGTTTAGGATTAGACAACTCGGAGGAAACATTACCTGAAGTGCAGGCCCACAAATGCAGCTCAAACAAATCCCCAAGGCCTGGAAAATGCTCCTAAGGTGATTTTCACACTCACATTTACATTAAAAAAATCCCTCTTCCTTCTCAGTTGCAATGAATTATTAAAACAAAAGGAAAACACAAAAACAAAGCTCCAAATAAATGATTTTATTTACATTTCATGGCTCTGAAATCAGTCTAATGAGTAGAGGATACACATGAGCAGCACAGATCAGTCTGACTCACTTAATTTATGGCAATTAAAAGCACCCATTAATTACAGCGATTGACAGCTGAGGCAATTCCAGGAGTTACCAAACCCAATATTTGAGAAAAGTCCATAAGAACCTTGTCCCATTGTCCTGGAGGGTTTTCCAATGGAAAGAAAATTGGTTTAAAACCCAAAACTGCCAAAAATCCTGGGTTTTGTTTCTGGAATCAGCGTTTTTCCCTGGAAGATTTAATGGGATCCTTTCCTTCGTGGGATTTCACAGCCCTGATATTCCATGGAAATCCTTCCCAAAAAAAATCAGCTCCCAAACGCAAACCCCTGGCACAGGCCCGAAACTCCTTTCACAACCCCTGAACCTGCCTCAGATCAAAGAGTTCCTTAAGAGATAAGAAAAAGAGATAAACTCCCTTCCCAGTTGGAAGAGAAATCCCTCTGGAAACAGAAATTAAAACTAAATAGAAGAAATAAAAATAGAAAAATTAAAAAGAAAATAAATAAAAATAAAGGAAATAAAAATAAAAGAAATAAAAATAGAAGAAATAAAAATAAAAGAAAGAAAAATAAAATATGAAATTAAATTAAAACAAATACAAATTAAAACAAACAAAAAAATCAGGAATTTTGGATTTTTTCCAGACTCACCTCAAACAAATCAATCCCAGAGATTTATCTGGGAGATTCCTCATCCTGTTTTTTCCCTGGCATGCTGATGTTGTTGTTGTTGTTGTTGATGTTGTTGTTGTTGTTGATGTCGCTGGTAAATAGATTTTCTGGCTTTAGGAATTCCAGGGCTCTGCTCTGATCCTTCCCGGCTGCTTTGCATACGGAGATGAAATCAGAGGAAGCTGCTGCAGCTGCTTTGCTCTTCCCTATAATTTTCCAAATTGGGCTCCGAGGCCGCTTGGCAGAGAGGAAATCATCGGTGTCATTATCCCAGATCGGAGCAGAACACCATCCTTAACCCTCATTTTCCCCCAGATTTTATCGAGGACAATTCCAGGCTCGGAAAGGAACAACCAACAACAGCCGGGCAGGAAAATAAACGGGATAAAATTTGGGAATTGCTGCGTGAAGTTAAGGCTAGCTTGGATCCTGGGATCTCAGGTTTTTTCTGAGCTGTCACCTGGATTCCAGTTTCCAAATAAAGGGATGATATTTTGGGGTGTTTTTTCTTTGGATTATTGTGAGATTGAAGGGGGATTTGGGATGAAATTAAATCACCAACAACTGCTTGTTAATTATTTGTGTTTTCAGCGCTGTTTTATTGCTCAGACCAGAGCTGGATCTCAGTTCTGTTCATTTCTGTCTATTTCTGTCCATCTCTGATAATTTATGTCCATTTATGTCAATTTGTGTTAATTTATGTCAATTTCAGTCCATTTCTGATGTGATTCCCTCTGTTTGATCCCATAAAAAAATCAAGTTTTTGGCAGCCTCCCATTTCGTACTGGACATCTCCATCTAATCCCTAAAAATTTAAGAACAAATCCCATTTTTACTCAGATTTCCTCTCTCATGGAGAGGTTTGGGAACATTTCTTACCTCTGGCACCACGAAAGGTGGTGATTAAAGAATTAAACACACAAATAACTCTGGAACTGATGAATTCTCCCCCACCACCCAACGAGATTTGCTGGGAGCTGAGGAACAATGACAGCACCCCCCAATTTCCTGGGAATCTTTCATCTTGGAAACAAAACACGGCTAATGCGTTTCCTTTGAATCTTTAATTCCCTGGATAAAACTCGAGGGGAACGTGGAATTGCAGCCCCGGAGCGGGGGAAGCCTGGAGTGCCTGGGTGTAATTTGGGTCTGCCTAAAAGCCGGGCCAGGTGTCCCTCCGGTGCCACCACCCAAACGCCTTCTCCAGGTCAGGGTGACCTCCAGGGCTTCCCGAAATATCCCGAGGTGGAAGGCAACCCCAAGGTTCATGCAAAGAACCCCAAGAGCCCCCAGAGCTTCATCTGGGGTTTTTTTGGGGGGTCCTGGGTCAGCTGGAGCCCCCCAGGAGTGGGCAAGGATCTGGTGAGGCTCAGCCCAAGCCCAGACCCCTGGAAGATTGAGGAGAAAGGAGATTTTGGTCTTCATGGAGGAGCTGGAGCATGGCCAGGGATGGGAACGGGGCTGGAGCAGCTGGAGAAGGTTCTGGAAAATCCTGAGGGAGCTGGAGGGGCTCAGCCTGGAGAAAAGGGGGATCCAGGGGGAATTTTGGGCTCTTCCAGGGGGGATTTGGGATCTGATCCCAGGGAACAGGGACAGGACAAGAGGGAACGGCCTAAAGCGGTGCCAGGGGAGGCTCAGAGTGGGAAATTTGGGAAAATCCCTCCTGGAAAAGAGGAAAAGTCCTTGGAAGGGGCTCAGGGAAGGTTGGATCCCCATCCATCCCTCGGAGGTGTCCGAGGAATTCCTGGATGTTGCTCTGGGTGTCCAGGTGGGGATTGGACACAGCTTGGACTCGATGACCTTGGAATTCTTTTCCAAGCTCCGGGATCCCGGGATTCTAAAGAGCTGCAGGATCTGTTCCTCAGCAAGGTGGGTGCTCATGGGTGAATTCGGGGTTATTTGGGGCATCTTAGAAGTTCCACCCTTGCAAATAATTAATTTTAATACTTCATGAGTGCCTGTGGAATGAGCCAACACCACGGAGCCAATTCCCATTCCTGCATCGCCCCATGGCTCACCGAGGTGTGGTGCTAAGATCCAATTTAATCGTCCATTAATGAGAAAGATATTAATTAAATCTTCATTTGCCTTCATTGCCTCATTAAAGCTGCTCGTCTCAGCAAGAAAATCTGGCAGCTTCCTCTGAGTTCCTTCAAGGATTAAAGCCGGAGCTGGCGGCACAAAACCCTGTAAAATGAATTTATGGTTGGATTTCATGAGGGAAAAGGAAATTTTCCCAGGAAAAACAGAGCAGGGTTTTGTTGTCCAGAGGAAATATTGGAATTTCCACTGGAATGGATTTCCCAGGCTGCTCCATCCCTGGAATTGTCCAAGACCAGGTTGGAGCATCCTGGGATCATGGAAAAAGAGTTGGAATAAGACGATTTTTAAGAACCTTCCCAACCCAAACCATTCCATGATTTTATGATTCTTAAGCCTGAAAAGGGATTTTTAAGGAAGGAAAAGCAGCCCCCTCCCTTCCCCTGGGCCTGAGCCAAGCCTTGGCCTCCCTGACCTCATCCCAAATTTTGCTGCCGTGCAATATTGGGAATATAATGATGGGTTATTGGGAATAACCTTATTAATAACTGGGTGTGCCCCAGCCCCAGCTCCACCCTCTGGATGGAGAATCCTTGGGAAGGTCGGGTCACTTTTGGGCACTGTTCCCCTAATAAATGAGTATTTTACCCGGCCAGGAGTGGGGAAAGGGATCGGGCACTGCTTGGACACAACCTTGGAGAACTTTTCCAACCTCAGCAATTCTGGGATCTACCTTTAAAAAATAAAAAACCAAACCAAACACAAACCACAAAGCTAAAAAAAAAAAAAAAAGGGATAATTTCCATTCCTCCTCTTCCAGGAGGAACTGGAGATTTTCCAACTCCTGGAGCAGGATGGGGTGGAGCCGATGAGTCAATCCCGAGGTCTTGGGGTCCACCCCGCCCGTGACCTCATTGCTGGAGTTTTCCCAACCCTTTCTCCAAGAGCCAAACAAGAAATGTGGGATCCGCCAGGCTCGCGGGCTGATCCTCCGAGATATCGGGGTGGTTACACCACCCTCGGGATTGGGAAGGGGATGGGGAAAGTGGGGCACACGCAAATGGGGTAAACAGAGGGGCTGGTGGGAATTCCCAAGATGCAAAGGGAAAAATGGAAATGTGGATAGGCAGGGAATGTTTGAGGGGATTGTTACAGCAGGAACGGGTTTGGGGGGATTTGGGATTCCTGTTTCCCACCTGGATGCCCAAAGAGAAAGAGAAATCCTACAAAAAACATGGAAAAAGCGTCCCCAGAGGTTGGAATTCTTCCTTCTGGTTGTTTAGGGGCTGTTTTAATGTCCCTGACAAATTTTCCACAATCCCTTTTCCCTCTGAAGGGAACACCTGGGTTGGGGCTGGGCCCAGGAGGAGGAGCCCACCCTGAGGTTGGTGAGGAATTCCAAAATTCCATCGTTCAAGGGCAGCTCTGAAACAGCCCTGGCCCAGAAGATCCCTCAGGGATTTGGAATTTATCCAGGTTTCCCGGTTAAGAGAATTTCCCCGGAAAAGAAAATCAGGAAACCACTGTGATAATGCAGAATAATTTTAATGGGGAGGGAAAGAACAAGAATAAAATAAGATAAGATGAAATAAAATAAAATTTAAAAATAAAATAAAATAAAATAAAATAAAATAAAATAAAATAAAATAAAATAAAATAAAATAAAATAAAATAAAATAAAATAAAATAAAATAAAATAAAATAAAATAAAATAAAATAAAATAAAATAAAATAAAATAAAATAAAATAAAATATAAAGTGTGCAGGTCCAGGGGAAGATTCCTCACTTTCATCCTGGAATTTTGGAATGGTTTGGGTGACATCATCCACATCCATGGGCAAGGGACATCTCCCACTATCCCAGGTTATTCCAAGCCCATCCAACCTGGCTTTGGACACTTCCAAGATGGAAAATCCACATTTTTGTGGCCAAGCTTTCCCACTGGGGTAATTTTTATATGAAAAAAATTAATTCCCACAAATCTTTTTTCCTTTTTATTAAAATTAAATATAAGGAGATTGGTTAATTCCCTTTCCCGACTTTCCTGCAGTGAAAGTGAAAGCCGGGAAGCGGTGATGGGATTGTGTTTGTATTTATCCCAGGGAAAAGGGAATTTCCTGCTGAGTAATTCCCATAAAACCTAAGCCAGGCTTAATTAGGCCTGGCAGGGAAAGGCTTTGTCAGGTCTGACCACACTTGGGGTGTTCCTCAATCTCAGTTTCTCTGGAAAACCACGGGAAAACAACAAACTGCTCCCACAAATCAGATTCCAAGGGTCAGGTTACCCCCGAATTTGGAGAAAATGGAATTTAATGGCTTAATTCCGCCACTTGGGAATGTCTGAGGGGGGAAAAAAACCTCAAAATACCCCAACCTTAAAAAGATCCCAACTTAAACTGAACTTAAATTCCCAAATCTGCTTTGGAGGATCCTCCAGAGCCTTTGGATTGGGGCCGGAGCCGCCTCACACTTCCAAGACCTCGTTTTCCTCCTTTTCTGCATCCGTGTTTTCCGTTCCTGGCTTTTCCGGATCTGGAATTTTCTCCTCGCGCCCATTCCCGGCCAGCTGCTGGCTCCCACAGCTGCTCCTCCGGCAGGGATGGATCCAGCGGGAATTAAAAATGTAGGAGCAGCGCGACGCTCGCCGGGGGCCGAATTTTGGGATGAAACCCCGGGAACGCGGGATTTGCGCCCCGTGGGATCTCAGGGAGGTTCGGGAAGTTCCCGCTCCTCCCTCCAGCATTCCCAAGGATCCCACCAAGGTCTCCCGTGGGTCCACACCGAGGACGGGCCCAGAGGTGAATTTTGGGATGAACTCCCCGCGACGCGGGATTTCCACTCCGTGGGACCTCAGGGAGCTTCCCGCTCCTTCCTCGGGCATTCCAGAGGATCCCAGCACCATTCCCGAGGATCCCACCACGGTCTCCTGCGGGCAGGTGCTGATGATGGGCCCCGGGAATGTCACGAGCACGGGAGGAGGGAAGATGATGACGCGGGAAGCGCCGCAGGAAACCACGCAGGGCTGGCTGGAGCCGGAGGCCGAAGGCGGCGGACATGGGCCCTGGAATTCCGAGCACATCTGGGAGGATCCGGGGAGAACCTGCGGCCAGAACAGAGAAATCATCTCAGAATTCAAAATTTGATTCCTCTTTACTCCTAAATCCCAGTGGGAAAAGCCTTGCTCTGGTTAATCTTTACTTGACTTTTGTTTTTCTCAATTTAATCCAATTTTTGATTGATTTTTAGTTAAATTTTAAAAATAATGTTTCATTTTTATTTTTAAGTTTTAAAAATTTTATTGGATTATTTAATTTAAATTTTTTGATATCAGCTTGTAAATTTTTATTTAATTTTATCTTTTTTTTGAAAAAAAAAATGACTTAATTTTTTAAATGTTACTTTGAAACTGAACTCCCAGCTCAATTTCCCCTTTTTCCCCACACGCCTTCCCAAAAAAAACCCACCATGGCTTTATCCAGGCCACGATTCCAGAATTTTCCGTCCCTTCCTGGGATGATTTGTTTATCTCGGCGTGCCCAGCCCTCACTGGGATAATTACCCAGAGCAGATTCCAGAGCCTGGGATCGCTCCCGGCTCCGGATCCGCGTCCGGAGCGGTCCCTGACAGCTCCAAAACCCCTGGAATTCTGGAAAATTCCTTCCTCCAGACGAATTCCAGAGAGCCCAGAACTCCACAGGGAATTTTGGTGCCCAGATTTTTTTTCCCCCTGGACTCTGGGTTCGCAGTTCTTGTGGAATGAAATCCAGAATTCTGGAATCAAATCCAGAATATCTCCTGGGATTTTACCTGTCGGCGTTCAGAGCTGTGGAATGCGGATGATTCCCGATAAAAATCCCTTAAATTTCTGTCCCTGGAGGAATCCGGGCTCTTCCAGAGGCTCCTTTGGAGGTAGGTGTTGGGTTAAGTCATCAAATTCCTGTTTTTTCTCCAAGGATTCTGCTGGAAAAGTCCAGGGGAATCCCATTATTTATCTAATGGGGATTTCCATGGAGATCATATTCTCTTTTCAGAGAATTCCCAAAGTTTTTGGGTGGGAAAACAACGGAATGGGAGTTTCTTCTTGCCAAAAGTGCTACAAAAACGGGGTTTTGCCCCAAAGAAATTCCCTGGCAGGTTGGAATTGGGGGAGAAACAACTTTTTGGGAAAAATGGGCTCAGTTTGGATCATTCTGGCAGGAAAATCAGGAGGAAAACAGATTTTCCTCCTTTTTACCCCATAGGAAAATAAATCTGATTTGCTAAAAATTTTGGGGGGGGGATTTTAACAAGAATTCCAGTCCCCTTTTCTAAGGCTGGACTCACCCCAAATATCCAACAAAATAATTTCCAGCAGGGAATCTCCCTTGGAATTTTTTGGAGCCGCAGAATTCCCGTGAAATTCCCCATTTCTTCCGTTTCCCCCCCAGATTCTGGAACGGAAGGGAGAGGGACTTACCAATATTCCAGGAAGGAATCGACGGGAATGTCCGGGGGGAGCCCCAAATCCTTGGAGTTTTATAAGAACTCCCGAACTTCCAGGAAGCTGAGGCAGCCTTTGGGCGCGAGGCTTTAATTGCCCTCCCCTCATGTGTAATAATCTTAATTACTGCTAATTATTTTGGGGTTGTTTACCCGCGTTATTCCCTTTTCCATGGGAATCCCTGCTGCCTCCCCACCCCAGGATTCCCGCGAAAAGTGAATTCCGGAGGGGATTTTACCATTTCTGCCTGGATTTCCAGTCCTGGGATGGTCTAGGGTGGGAAGGGGATTAAATCCCATCCCATTCCAACCCTTTTCCAGGCACAGGGACACTTCCCGCTATCCCATCCCAATTTTCAGCTGAAAATGCCTCGAGGGAGGATTAAATATGAGAGGAAAAACTTTAATCCCGTGGAAGCTGGGAAAATTGAGGAATTTCACGGAGCTTTGCTGATTTTCCGAGGATTTGGGTGGATCCCCTGAGCTGGGAGAATCCCAGAACTCCGGAATGGGTGTTTTATGGAACTAATTGGGATTTTTTATGGAATTCATCGGGTAATTTGGGGATTCCTCAGGCGGGAAGGCATCCCGCTCAAAGCTGGCACAGGATTTTTGGGATGGCTCTGGATATCCCCACTGAGGCAGAGCCAAACATTCCCTGGACAATCTGTTCCAGTGGAAATTCCTGGGAATCAATTCCCGCTCCTGGAAATTCCCCCAGGCTGATCTGGAGCCACTCCGGAACCAATTTTGGGGTGAATTTTGAGGAGAAATCGATTGTTTTGCTTAATGAATATGCAAAATACCCGGAGCTGGGCTGGAGAACAACATCCTGTTTATTTGTGGAAGAGGCATTTCCATCCAAGGGGGAATATTCCGGCGCTGCTCCGATCCCTGAGGGGTTTTTCTGGGATAATTTGTTATTCCTATTACAGGGGAAAAAATGCTTTGCATGCATAAATTCCTCGCGAATATTCCTGGCGTGTTTCGACATCCCCTCGTTGCGTGGGAACCTCATTATCGGGATTATTTCCCTCATCCTTGTCCCAAAAGACAATTCCGGGTTCTCACTGAGTTTTCCAAAGAAAAAATTTCAGGGTTTGAATTCCTCCTTCCCAAACGAGGCCGGTCCCATCGCTCTCTGTCATCGCAGATTCCTGGGAATACGGTGAAAATCCCATTTCGTGTCCTTTGATAATCCCACGCAGCTCGTGGATCTCTTGGCGGCTCCAGAACCCATCCCCGCTTGGAGTTTTCCTCCTCAAAAAACAGCGAAAATCTCCCGGAAAAAAAAAAAAAAAAAAAAAAAAAAAAAAAAAAAAAAAAATTGGAATTTTTATTCCGATGCCGCTTAACCTGCGGAGCATCCAAACCCCCCTCGGAGCGGGAATTCGTTTTAACCTCCCGGTTTTTCCCCGTGCGAGGAAAAATTCCCTTCTGCGCTCTGGAAGCGGGAGCTCCTCTGGGAATCGGGAATGGGAATTTTTGGGAGGATGAGGATGGAATTCCGTTCATCCCTGTGGCCACCAGGAGGCAGTTCCATCCCGCGGTGCCTTCCCCAGGTCTCGTGACCTTTCCAAGGGCAAATCCCAGCTGGAAAACCTCGGGATGAGGGAGGGAGAGGGGAGCAGGAGAGCCTGAGGGTTGTCCCCGTGTGGAATCCCGGCAAAACCCCGCCGCTGCTTCGGGTTTTTATTTTGCCCTCTCAACGTCATCGGCAGCAAATCCAATTAATCGGAATTAATTTTTTTTGCAATTTAACCTCTTCCTGCCGATCCATCCCCTCTTCCCCGGGTTTTTTTTTTTTCCCTTTCCAAGGAGGAAAGGCTGAGGAAATTGGGAATATTCAGCCTGGAGGAGCTTTGGGGTGACCCCACTGCGGCCTTGCGGGAGCTGAAGGGGAATGTGGGGGGAGATTTTTGATTTCCCCTGGAGTGCCAGGAAAATGGGATCGGGTTCAGACTGACAGGGAAGAGTTTCGGTTGGATACTGGGAAGAAATTCCCTCCCCACAGTAAATCCGTGCTAGTGAGCCCAGCCCCAAAATCGCGATTATTTCCCTTATTTTACACAAAAGGAGGAGTGCAACAACAGGGGAAGGGTTGGGGTTTTTTTTCCCCCAGGAGCAGGAATTAGAAACGGTTTTAAAAGCTGGAGAATAAAACAGGCAGAGAGCAGGAATCAGCTGCAACCTGAGTTTAATGCGAGTGGTACGACCTGAGCAGAAGGGATCCCACAACAGTAAAAAACAGGGAGCAGACGAAAGTGTCGGCTCGAGGTTCCGAGCGGCTCAGAGCTCCTCAACCTCTCCCCAACACCTTCCCGGTGCTGGAAAATCCGAATTTGGGGTCAAATAAAACGGGGGGTTCGCTCTGAGAGCTTAACTCGGGCATCACAGGGGGTAAAACCAGGCTTGGGGGGCAGGACTGGGGAGGGAAAGGGGGGATCACCCCAAACCTCGGCTCCGAGGAGGGGGAATAACCCCAAAGTTGGGCTCCAAGGATGGGAAGTCACCCCAAACCTCGGCTCCAAGGAGGGGGAATCACCCCAAACCTCAGCTCCGGGGAGGGGGAGTCACCCGAAACTTGGGATCCAAGGAGGGGGGATCACCCCAAACCTCATTTCCATGGAGGGAAGGATCACCCCAAGCCTGGTCTCCATCCCCCGCGGGATTTTCGGCTTCTCCCTCACCAGAGCCACTTGGAAGCGCAGCGGCTTTTCTTGGAGTGGCCGGAGCGCTTGGCCGGGGCCAGGCGGGAGGGTCTCGGGGCTGACCG